TTCGAAATATGTAGACTGAAGACAAGAATGCATGTTTAATGGAAAATTTGAAATGCACCCTGCCCAGAGCTATCAAACTTCACCAAACAAAGTAATACAGTCTCTTGATTAATCAGAATTTGAAATATAGACAAATCTAACGTATTAAAGCATCGGTTATCCTATACAGACTCAATGACTTGGTTATACACAGTCAAGCTAGTCCCATTTCTTTCTAACCTTACACCAGAAACAGCTGGTTAAGTATAACTTGAGCTTCTCCTGGCTACAAATCTTAATCATATAAACACAGCTGTAAAAAAAAATACTCAATGTCATAATTTTTTCTTTATTTAGAATATCTATGTGGATCTCATTTTCAGCTCTGTAGAACTTAAATACCAGAAGAAATGTCCTGTTATTCAATACATGTTAAAACAGGGCGGCCCAAAAACATGCATACATTTTCATATACCATCAGGAGTCTCCTTAAATCTGTTGTGACATCAGTACATAGAACATATTATTATAAATAATTAGGTGAAATATACATAATCATGGCGAATTACGGGGAGTATGGTAAATAATTGAAATTGCTCTGGGCCCAATGACTAATAAAAAAAACTTTAATCAACAATTGGTTTTCTAACTGAAAAACAAACGTTTGCAAGTATCACATTGACAACAGCGATTTTAGTCGTTTCATATAAACCTAAAAATGAAACTGATACATGTTAAATCTGTAGTGTAGTCCATATAAACACTAGTAAATTTTTTGAATTCAAAAATAATTGGAATGCCATATCCCTTACACATGAGCCACCCACATTCTGTTAGATTTCTCCCATCTCTAAAATTTGTAAGAGTTTTGTTTAGAAGACTGGAGGCATCAGTAAGCAATGCCTACATTTTTTTTTAATTATTGAATTAGCGTGAAGTTAGATAAATAAAAAGTATTTTTCTACTTCGATACTGAGACCTACATAATTTTGTGTAGAAACAAAGTTTGAGTTAGTCATGCTGGAAGACTACACTCCTTCTTCACAAATTTGTCTGTCATAGATGATAAGCCAAACAGCTCCAAAATTAGTTGTAATAATAACAGTTAATATTGTATCTAGCTGACATGCCAAACAACCCAATACATTTTTATAATGAATATGGTTAGTAGTAATATTTATACTGAAATTATTTTTCTGTCATTCAAGACATTATATATATATATATCTGTAAAAGCAAAAAAAAATTGAAAATAGTGTAAAATCCTAAATAAAACCATGAATAAAAGACTGGAAATAAGAAATATTTTAAGTTAATTTTTTATTTGCACAAAACAGGTAAGTTTTTACATGCATATTATAAACATTACACTAAACATTTCTAAAAACAGTTTAGTAGCAAAAAACAAATCTGTACACTCAAAAGGAAAGACAATCTCACACACACAAATTTAAATTTAATATCTGGTTTTAAATCACCAATTAGTTAGAGCACACAGTTATTAACTACACATTCCCAAATATTTTGGCAAACAATGGCCACTTTCTTTGGTGACAATATTAGAAGCACATCAAATTAAAGTACAAGCACACAACTTATTTACTGAAGTGCACTGGTATGATCAATGGTAATCACTTATATGGACCTCTTAATTGAAACTGAATTAAGATAGCTACCAATGTTTCTGCTTCTTCCTACAAGGGGTCTTTGTTGATCTTTTTTGGAAGCAGTATACTGTTTTATTTTAAAATATGTTCAACCATAGACTTTTAAGAAATAAAAATAAATTCGATTCTTAATTAGGATATAAAATTTATATACTATAATATCAAATGTTCCAAGATGGAAACATTAAAATGCAGTATGCTGCAAATTATAAAATAGCAGTGAAAGTATAAAATAATACATAACAAGAAGTCAGCATAGGTAGAAAATCTGGAACTGGGTAACTGCTGTACAAATTACCTGAACCTGGGTCCTGTTTGGGTAATAAAAAAGCACAAAAATCTTGCATAGAATTTATTATTATTCATATTTTAAGTGCATAATATACTGTACATGTGTTTCCTCTCTTCAGATATGCAGACTTGTATTACTACTTTTAGAAAATAAAATATTAATAAAAAAAAACACCTCAGATGGAATAAACCTATTAATGTTAGATGTGCTTCATGCTGTAAGATTCTTTGCACCATCTATTGGTCATATTAAACTCTTGTTTATTTAAGATGACATCAGCAAGGCAGTTAAAGAACTTGCAATCATGGTGTCAAGGTAAAGGACCATTATGTGGGATTTTATTACCAAAGGAGGTGGAGTGGAAAGCTACACAATTGGCTATCTACACTCTCTCCACTACAGAGAATCAAACCCCAGATATTAACATTGTAAGTCTGTAAACATACCACCAAAGGAAGAGACATTGCAATTTACGTAGCTTGTTTCAGCCTCATCTTTATTATGCCAGCCAGAGACAACTACATTGTTGTCATACTTTATACATTTTTATTAAATTCTCAAATTAATAACTGATACCCAGTTAGTAAAGAGACCCAAGGTCAGGTAACCAGATTTTTGAGTACCCATGTTGACTTCTACATGTAACTTACATTACAATACCCTTCTCTTTCAAGACCAAATTAGAATGTTAAAAACTCAATTTCTTCACATTTACACAATAAAACCATAAAACAGAGACTAATTCTATACTTCCAACATGGCAGATTCATCAAAGGTCACATGTAAATATTTTTATTCAAGATCTTCTACACTCTAATCTGTACATACAATAATACTTTTCGTTGAGATTAAAGAAAAGGCCATAAATACTAAAAACAATCTTCATACAACAAAGCAAAATATGACTCTAGCAATACACTTACAAATGGCAGGCAACTAGCCATTACAATTCAAAGTATTGAACTAATAACTGTGTTAAATGCAACTTGAAGCATTAAACAATGACTGGCTTCTCATTGACCAAAGAAGCAGCTTTTATTAAAAAAGCAATCCTACAAGTTAAGGCACTTTTTTTTTATTCATCTATACAGGCCAGACTGAATAATAACTTGACAACATTATAAATTGTGGGCCATGAGGTTTGAAAACAGAAACTTACAAGATGAATTTCAACAATACAAAACATCAGTCCTCCAATGATATACAATGTTGTGAATAATTTGTCACGTAATGAGTAGAGACTGTGTATACAGATATGGCAGCATGATGACAATAACACTCAGAATAAAAATAAAATACTGTCTACTGGAACAATGCCTTCAGCCAAGACAAGAAGAAAAAAAAAATGTTGAAACCCTGTTTGGAATAAGAAGTCTTTTACTGGTTTTGCTAACATATTTATATCTGACATACCGTGATTGCAAAGATACATAATACACATTTCTACCCAGGACTACACCAGAATTTATGAATCATTTACCCAGCTTTCCCTGTATGTGGGGTGAAACAAAATGTATTACAACATCTCCATGGTAGTTTACTTTACATACAAGTCCCATAAATGATAATGATTCCACCTAAACTGGACATCCACATACAAACACCCATGGCAATATCAACTAATGGCAAGATACAACTAATGGTCACACTCAAGATACTACTATCTTTAAAGACTTCATGGGAAAACATCAAATATTCTGACAACTTGACATATAAATTGTAAGAACGTACGAGTGAAAGTAAAGACCAATGTAATAATGTCAACCACACTATAATTGTAATACCCAGTGCCAATGAGGTCTTTCCTTCAATACCAGGACTCAACAGGCAGTTGAAACACTATTTATAACATCAAATTGCTTGAACAACATTGACAGCAACAGAATGCACCGAATATTATTTACAAAAAATTAAATTCTTTAATTAATTAGTGATCTTTGATTTAACCATAGAATATTATAGTAGTCTGCTAAGTGAGCTGGGTCTCCAACAAATTTGTAAAAAACACAAGTAAATTGCAGGGATGGGTATGGCATCATCTGCCAAGCATTTTGCTGCAGATAAAAAGGATCAAAGACTGTACAAATAAAAAGTTATACAAGTGTCAAAACTAAGCAGCTTTGGGTGACATTCATTAGTCATATGATTAGCAATATAAATCCGAGTAACACCCTGCTAGCCATCACTTTGATCTTTCATACCAGTCAATTTTTCCTTACCATCGCTCATTTGCTGTCTGTACTCTACTGATGACTCCTTGTCATGTCACTACATATTTGATTCCATATTTTGCTGAAGTATACTAATCAGAAATTATCAATATTTGCATTTTCAACCACACACTCTTTCTCACACTAGCTGCTGTCTTGCTATCCTCTAAAATCCAGGATCATGCACAAGATGTTTGTTATTGTTATACTATTTTATTTTGTATGAAAAAAGTAGTTCATTCTCAGTGAAGTTGCATTAAAACAACTGATGGTGAGAAGTCAATTTTTACCAAAAAGTCACTCCCTCTAACTCCACAAAAGTCATTTATCTTCACACATGTTTCATCATAAAATAAGATGTATTCTGAAAAATGTGCAGGAAATATAACAAAAACCCAGATTTCTCTGGTTGGGAGTGGTTTAGCAGAAACTGCTTGTTAATATCAAACAATAAAATTTTCTTTCAATTGCAGTTTACGCTGGACAAGGAAACATGTTATAAATTCATTCTTTACACATAACAAGTCAAACTCAAACAGATTTAAGAAACAGGATATACAATAAAATGGCTTAAAATTTGTTTTAAGATAGGTGTAAGGCATATAAAATCCATGGTTCTTCAATTATAAAAGCTATGGAAGAGATTACTAAACAAATTTTATTTCTATTCATTGTATACAATAATTCTTAAACCTGGGAAGTTCTAATAACTAACTTGAAAAACACAGTTTTACATTTTCATTTTAATATTAGTTAAGTTTTATTGTTAATATTTGTTTTAGTTTTAAAGTAATAATTTGAAAAATAATTTTGATAACTGTCAAAAGAAAACAGAAATTTCCTTCTAATAAATCAATTACTTTAGAAAGTGACCATAAGTAAAAAAAAATATATAAAAAATCCCCCCTCCCCCCCACAAAAACATATCAGCTGATACAAAGATTAATAACCAAAAGTTTGCATATTCTGACATAAATGAGACTAACTTTTCTTTGTTTAATTACAGTAAAATATAGTTATTATTTCTTACTGATAATGCTTATTGTCAGTCAGTGGTTTGCTCTCAACCATTTTGCATGTAGTTTCTGCCAACTAATGTTGGGTGATGACACATACATACCTTAATGAATACAAATTCTGTTTCTTAGATAAACAAATACAAAAAATGTTGTCTTTTCCACTTGCCTTTGCTCAATCACTCAGCAAGAGGTTATTAATTCTCAAAATAATCTAACACAAATACTGTGTGAAAAAAAAAGTGTTACTTTGTTCTTTTGAAGTACCATTTCTTGGTGGGTTTTTAATTGTACATATATATATAGCAGAAAAGTGATCAAGAAAATACCTAACAAGTAATTATCACAAAATAATGATAATATTGTTTATCCAAATTTCTCTTTATTAATCTCAGATTTTTGGAAAAAATATTATATTACGTTTTTAAAAACAGAAGGCAAAATCCTGGTGGCCATTTTAAGTCACAACTCATTACAAGACATAGAACTAGTATTGCCCTAACATTTATTTTTTTCATATTTCAGCTGTCGGATGATAATTCAATACACAGCTTTTATTTTCTTCTGACTGCCATTGGAATTCTTTAACATTACCTTTTGTTCTTAAAATTAAAAAGTAATCAGACATCCCTCTTTTCTTCAAACAAAGCAATAGTCTTGGAGGTTCTAAAATCATATTTTTTCATGTGTGGTACTGAAATACTGATGGTAATTTTAAGTTTAAAAAATTCAGACTATCAGAAATAAAATATATAAAAGCAGAAGAAAATATAATAATGCACTCAGGGACACAGATCAGTGACTGTTAATGTACCAACGTTTAAGTGGTTAAATTAAAGACGGAATTGTAAGACTAGATGACAGTCATAAACTTTCCGGCTGAAGTACATCATCCAACCATAACCGCAGTGAAGAACAAACTCAACAAACTACAACTGTAGGTTAAAACAAAGGTGAGAAGAGTACCATCATAACAATGTCAACCACACTGTAGAAATTGGTGTCCTCAGGGTTAGGGAGGTTCTAACCCCAGGCTGGAAGATATGTAAACCTGAATTCTATTTTTTTCTATTTGGATAGCTTACTGATGACTCTGATTAGGGCCCCATTTTCATCTCGTAACCGCTGGTTCTCAGCTTTCACCTGCTCCAGTTGCTAGAAAAATAAAGTAGTAAATTTAATAGCAGTTTTTACTCAAACCTGAACATATCTTAGGAATCTCACTATATAATAAATACTAAAATAAGACTGATTTTAGAACATTGTGTTATTTTCTTATATTTTTAGTCAGTGAACACATTACTTTAATTAAAAATAATAAAACAGTGCATTGGACTTAGATAGAAATTAGTATGTTAACAAGTAAAACAAGTTTCCAAAATTTACCTACAATCTAACTCTTTACATATAACTTTAATTATTCACATAAAATACCTTGTATTTTATACCCAATCTGTTCTCTTCTTATGCTTAATTATCTTAATTAATCATAATTAAAAACAATGTCCTAGGAATAGATGATGATGATGATATTATCCAGTGAGATCTTCAAATAAAAATGTCAGAATTGAGTGCATTCTCTTTTTCAAAAGTTTATTTTACACATGATTTTGATACAAGACTCTTCTCTCTAAGCTTATTTTAGAGAATAATATTTCAAGGGATCTTTTCACACATTTTGTGGATTTTCTTACACAACTTTCCAATGCTCTGTCTATGAATTATAAAAAAAAATCACCATCCATATCCTAAAGAAGTGTCAGAAGAGATATCAAGAAAGCCATAAAAATCCAAATAAATTTTGAAATATACATGGAACTACGGCCCTCCTTGTCACAGAATTAAAGTTACAATTTGTTTTGTTTGTTTGTTTTGAATTTCTTGCAAAGCTACACGGGGGCTATCTCTGCTAACCGTCCCTAATTTAGCAGTAATAGACTAGAGGGAAGGCAGCTAGTCATCACCACCCACTGCCAACTCTTGGACTACTCTTTCACCAACAAATAGTGGGATTGACAGTAACATTATAATGCTCCCATAACTGAAAGGGCAAGCATGTTTGGTGGGATGGAGATTCAAACCTGCATCCCGCAGATTGCGAGTCGAGTGCCCTAACCACCTGGCCATGCCAGGCCCATTGTTTATTGAAAAGGTTACTCCTACCAGTGGCTCAATGGTAAGTCTGAAGACTTATAATGTTAAAATTGTGGTGAACATAGCACAAACCACCGGGGCAAGTTGGAATTTAAGAAGAATGTTATCATGTTTGTAGTTGGTTTATTTACGAGCGACATTTTTAAAAAGTCTGCTTGGTATAGATTGTGAGAACTAGAGATTATTTTTAACGAACACTTCAATGAACACTAAGCCAATAACAAACTGCTGTAAATATTCTTGTTAAACCATGAGTTTAACTACGGAAGTAAACATTGCATCACCAAGCAATCTGTAAAGCACATTACCTTAGTAGATCTTTAAATCATAATATAAGAACCATAAATCCCTGTCTATTGACAACTTTGTAACCTTCACCAATTATAAGCTCTATGGATTTCTCTCTTTCTTCATATTATCATCAAACATGATAATTTCTCATTACAATATTATTGGGAAAACAAATAAAAGATGTGATCTAATATACTTTTGTGGTTTTAACAATATTTTATAAATTATCTTTAAAAACAAAGAATTTCTTGTCTCTGAAATATGACACTCGGACAGAGACAATAACTACTTGAAGCAGTAAGTGATTTAAACATTTTTTTCCCTCTAGAATTTACTATTATTACCAAAACTCATTATCCTGTCATTAATGATCTGGAAAAAATGAACTAACAAATACACACACATGGATTGAGATAAGCAGTAAAATGTAAATAAGTAAACATGGTAATTAGCCATACATATATATATTTTATTTCAATAAATTGTTATTTATGAGAAAGATCAAAAAAGGATTGTAGTCAACTTGCAATGATGGTAGGCCAGTACTTAAATACACAACAGTGTAATGTCAATGTTGTCAAACCTTTTAAAATAATAATTATTTATACAGCTTAATTTAAAAGTAATGTCAAAACCATAAAAAACATTGGTGTTATGACATTATTATCCAGAAGTTTATTTATTTTCAATGCAAGCTGTGTATGTTCTTTGGTATAAGCAATAAGAAAGAAAACATTTTTATAAGAAAACACACACGCACATTTTACATCAACAGAAATGACAATGGTTCTTGTAGATTATGTGCATTTAAAGACTTCAAATTTACTATGAATTGCACAGGTGTAAAACAATTTTTTTAACCATAAATAAAAACGTTGTGATTAAAAAAATGTATTAGGAATAATGATGATGGTATATTCTTGTTAATATGAAATAATTAAGATAAAAATTATTCTCAAACCATCATTTCATTATACATGTTATTTTATGCACAATAAACAGAAAATAACACACTTGGTGTTCCATAAAGACCTACAGTTGCCCACTTAAAAAAAAAAAGTTTTTTAGTCCTTTTACAAAACATCTGTTCAAATCATTTCAAAATAGCTAATGGCATGCACATTTCAAAGACCAGAAATTTTACCTATTTTGATAATTTTGAAACCACTCGAGTGAGAGCTCTGTTCTCAGCTTTAAGCTTTTCATTTTCTGTCATAACTTTGGCCATGTTCTGCAAGTAAACACAGTACAGGCATTTGTAAAGGCTGACCAGCAGCTAAGTGTGGTCCACTAAATTTAGTATGTCTTACATGGGAATGAATTTAAATTCTGTTCCCTGTATTTTTCTTTATAAAATAATACTGTAGTTCTAAAACATAATTTTAAGTACATTACAAATGTACAAGATTGATATTAGACATTTTTACCATTATACTAATTTTGTTTTTCTGCAGCTCTGACTAACATCTTCTATAACTCTTGGCTATATGTAACTCTAATATAAATAAACAGTTATAGCAATTTCAAAATGTCTAAGTCACATCTTTAAAGTTTGCTACACTTAAATTTACTGTTTTCCAACTGCTACAAATCACATAAATATATTACATGTGCCAAAAGTATTCAAAATAATTGTTGTTACATTCAATTCAAAAGTGTAAAATCTATAAATGAATCCAAAGTGTGAAGTATGCTTTCTAATTATATTCTGTTATGTTTAAACTACTATAATAAAACTTATTAACATGTGTGGAACATATCCTGAATAGTAAAACTACTCCTGCATTAAAAGAATATTTTAAAAAGATACCTGTCACTTTTAATTTTGCCCTGGTTAATCATAACAAATGTTAAATAACACGTCTTAAAGATTTAAGTTTTAGAACCTTAATAGAAACAGCACAGTAGGAAGTTCAAGTACTGATTCAGGATTTGGAGGAGAGAGAGGAGGCGGTAGCTGGGGCCATACTTTAAAACAAAATTTAACACAGAACCTAAATATTTTATTATAAAGCAATAAATCCATGAAAAACTACAAAATTAGAAATATTTTTATTGGTTGTTATGCAATTGGTTATTCATCTTTGCTAATCAGCATGCACAAGTCTCATGTACATGCACATCTTTTAGAATTTCATAAACTTTTGTGTTTTGACCTTAAAATGATGAATATCATGTTACAATGCAACAGTGGCTTATCTTTACATGGCCAGCAAGTTCTGTATGTTTGGGACTACATGAGCCTGAAAATATATATAATCTTACCATGTAACAATAATAACCAAAAGGTAGAAGAAAAAAAAGTTTCCCTTAAAGTTGTACAAGCCTAGATCACACCTAATGCGAGGGAAACATAAAAATGTTGAATTATTATGATGGATTTTACTTAGAAAACGGAGCCTAAGTTAGTCTTGAACGTTATGGTTTATCTGCTCCTTTGATGATTATTAGAAATTAAGATAAACGTGTTTATGAAATGCAAAAGAGAGATACAGAAAATATGTAGTGAATTAAGTGCAGCATGTTTCTAGTAATCATATATCTGAAAGTTACCCATTTTCCAACAAACCTGACAATACACTTGTTTTAAAGAGAAATGTTTATGAAAATAATAATATTTCTTTCAACAAATCCAATAGCACAAAATCATTAGACATGATAAAACTGTTCTGGGTCTTGGAAATTGCATGCCATTATCATTCATAAAAAAAAAAAGATGAACATTCCTTATTTTAAGCATTCTACTCAAAACACAGTAGCTAAAAGTATGAAACTCAATGCACTTTTAATTAGTTGCGTCAGTCACTTATGACAAACGTTTAGTGAATCAAACAGTACAAATAATAATTAGTTGAATCTAAACTTCTGAAAAAAAAGTGTCATTTCATACATCCAATAAACTTGCCTTATTTATCAGCATAATATTTTGATATTTTATTTTGACAACTGAAACTGTCAATCCCTTTTAAGTTATAAAACATGGTAAAACTGACTGTCGTTGTCATACATCATATATTTTTGACAATATTCCTGACTGAGATATTCATACAAATATAGTTCATTTTCAACATATATAACAAGTTCTTTATTTATATACATGTTGTATGAACACAATACAGCTTATTATTCAATCTGAGTAGTTTGCCCATAGCTTACAATACTTGCTAAAACTTATGTGGTGTCTTGTGTTAGAATATTCCTGCAGCTTTCAAACATATATAAAGTGTCATATAAAATATTATCAGGAATGAAAAGAATATAAAAAAAAACTTCAAACAATTTCCAGATTTTTGATTTATTCCAAAAAGTTGTACACTTCAAATTAGAATTTTTGTTCAACTCTAGAGCTCCAGATCACTAATATGTCAATAAACCACAAAAATTGTTGGTAAAATCACTTTATTTCGATGAATGTTAGAGCCTCTACCTTCCAATTGATTTTAGTCATTAGCTCTAGCTATTTTCAAAGTTGAGTTTAATTAGTAATTATTCAGATTACGTGCTGTGACATTATAATAGGGTGGCAATGAAGGACTGTAGTAATAAAACCAATGACAGAGAAGGAAATCATGTGAAAAATAAGACATGGATAATTATATTTCCATGTGATTATGGTTTCTTAGACAATGTAAACCTATACTTTAGTATGAGCAGAAAAACTCTAATAAAACAAATCTATAAAATCATTGTTTACAGTTGAGACTTATCCTGCATAGAAATGAAAGTTGGAATATATCTTTAATTTTTTTTATATGTGAAATACACTAAGTAATGTTACATAATGATAAAAAACTGCTGGAAAAAAAAGAGAATTATAATTTGTACTTAAATTTTCTAACTTGATATGCATGTGTACACTTGACCCCCTCAAAGGTACACACCTGTCATGACAGAACTAAGCAACTATTTTTCAAACATGAACCTGTGAAATGTGATCTCAATGGACAGACTTAGTAACTAAGATCCTGCATGAAAACTATGGATGACTGCAGAAAAGAACTGAAGACCTATAATCTCTAATCATGTTACAATTGTGTTTGTGTTTCAACATACTAGTTTTGGAGTTTGTGAGGAGAAAAAGAAGGCATTATAGTTTTTTTATTAATTACTTATGCCATTAGAATATATAGTAAGGACTATTCCTGTCAGTAGAATATTCTTTTGTCCTGTTTTTGCACACACACACACTATTATGTCTCATATAGTCTATTTTCCATGTTTCAAAGATTAATGTTTCAACTTACAAAAAACAAACTGATTAATGTCACAGTGTTATCTAAAGTCATGCATACAATACCTTACATTGCTATTATCAATCAATATAACAAACAAAACTTAAATGCAAATCACACGACTGTTAAGTGAAAGAACACGAAAGCAAGGTAAATAACACCAATACTTAAATATTATGAACTTACACGCATGACCACTTATTAAACTAAAAAAATATTAACTAAGGAAAATATGCAACAGTCTTGGTCTTGCTTTCACATTGGTTCTTAAACATGTACAGTTTAATGTTAATGTTCACTATCAATATAGTTTGACAGCACATAAAATATAACTAATATTATACAGCTTTATATACAAGTAATAATCACTGTTATACTGAAGTAATTATCACTGCTAATAGTTTTGTTTTGAGTTTACTTACTGATTAAGTATTATCTTATTACAAGCTATAACTTGTAATAAAGTAATTATCAATATTATATATTTTTATATAAAAATCAATAACCAGTGAAAATCATACACTGAGATTGAATATTATGAGTTAAAGACATAGTATCATTCCCCAGAATCCCCATTATACAGCGATAATGTATCTTAATCTTAAAGCCTAAGGGGTTGAACTTATAAAGCTGGAAAAGAAGCATTATTAATGTCATAAAACTATGAAAATACCATAATATTTTCACCCTATTTATTTCCTTAGTTATAATTTAAGATATTTCTTCTGAAACAACAAATATTATTACACTAGATTATTCAAGGATTATCACATTAAGTAAAAGAAATCAACCATTGAAACAAATATTGCTGCAATACTGAGTTATAATTAAGTAATACACACTACACATTTATTATGCTGAACAGGAAAAAGTTAGTGCTAGAACAAACATTACTGCAGTAATAAAAGAAATCCACTGCTAAGACAAATATTAAAGCAACAATTCACAACAAGTAATATTTATATACTCCAAGTGCTTATTACACCGAGTCAGAAAATTCTATTATTTGACCAAGTATTATTGTAATACTTGGCAACAACTAATGCACTTCAGATAATATCACACTAAAGCTCTATTGCACAATTTTCACAGGAAGAAAGATACAAAACACTTTTGTGAATACTTTGTTAATGCTAGTTATGACACCATTGTTGTCCTGGATTAACAAAATGTTTATTAACTTTCCTATAAACTTGACTGTTCACAACTTTGGCTATAATCACTTTCTTCTGATATTTGTCAGACACTTTAATATATTTCATGTGTGTAAGCACAGATTCAGAAACACTTGCTCCGACACTGACAGTTAACCAAAACCTAACCTAAACTCTTTTGTATTTTCATCATCTCTTTATTAATTTTTTGAACGTAACCGTGCTTTATACAGAAGCTTAAATTGCTAAGTGAACGATTTGTTATGCACAAGTCATATAATGTCTTTAATTACTATTAAGTACTCCAAAATTCTGCTACTATTGTAATTCTTGCCAAAGATTTCTCTGTGTTGACAATTTAAAAAAAAATGCATAAAACAAGACTGTGTTTACACTTCATAAAAAGCTTTTAAATCACCAATCATAATGATAATAACATTCAAAAGTTCTTAAGCATTATAACTACAATATTAAAGGAACTAACTTCAAAGAAAATTGGAGTATATCATTACTTACTAGTTACATAAAAATGATTTGTTTGCCTTTTAATATCCACACAGCTCACAAATACATGAAAACCCGAGTAAACTTGTACACAATCATTTATGTGTACCTGTGTACATACAACAACAAAATTGAGTTCCAGATTAAAAGGAAAAGACTAAAAACCAAACAAACAAAAAAAAAAAATACTATATCTCCTTATACAGAGAATTATACCGGTCCTTCATCAATTTCTTAAAAACTAGCACCAGCATAATCCTCTCAAATAACAGTGAGTGACCAATAAAAACCTATTTCTTGACTCTGTGTAAATTTTCATTGGTCTCACATCAAAGACACAGAAGCACATAATGTAATTATGTTCCTATATCTTAAAAAGATTAAACCCAAGCTAGGTTTTACTAGTCATACCTTAAGCTCTTCCTCCATTTCTGCAGCTTTCCTTTCTAATGCTCTTCGTTCCTAAAATACAGTCATTACCAAGTAAATAGCTTGATCGTAGCAAATCAAACCTTCACATACTACAACAAAACAAAAGGAAGACTACCCTTTCCCATAATAATCTATACTGCATTCAATGAATTACGCAAGAACTACACTATTGTCTTTGTAAAGTTGTGATTTAAGTGCAGTACATGAAGTGAGAGTACATTTAAACCTGAGTAAATGCTGAAGAAAAAATTTATCTTGGAAGTAAAATATATGAGTATATGATTTAGATTACTAACTAAGTTCAAGAGATAATATCTTAGTTATAAAATAACGTACAATATTTATGTGCAAATATAGGAGAAGGTGATTAAGTTTACTAAGGTCAAGAGTTATATATTAGTAATCAAATAAACTTACAATATTTATGTGCAAATATAGGAAAAGGTGATTAAGTTTACTAAGGTCAAGAGTTATATATTAGTAATCAAATAACGTACAATATTTATGTGCAAATATAGGAGAAGGTAATTAAGTTTACTAAGGTCAAGAGTTATACATTAGTTATCAAATAACGTACAATATTAATGTGCAAATATAGGAGTTTGCAATTAAGTTTACTAAGGTCAAGAGATAATATATCTTAGTTATCAAAAACATAGAATACTTATGTGACAAATGAACATGTGAAGTGTTAACACAAAACTGAACATTTCTTTAATTAAACAGACAATTTATCATTCGATGATTATGATTCCATGCTCTTTAACAGTAATAATGATCACCTCTATTTTATAATTAAAGCAATTCATATAAATAATGTAAAACTATTAAGCATCTATAATGAAAATGTTTCACAAATTCTACAAAATAAGAGTTCTAGAATTTTTCTACAGCTTTCAATAAATTGTACAAAAAACAAAACTTACTCTTTTTTCTGCATCACTTAGAGAACTTCTTGTGTGATTCTAGTTTGAAAAATAATTAGGATTATCATTAAAAAGACAATTTAAAAAAGATTAATGCGGTATCCAAATTTTGCAAAATTACCACAAAGACTATAGCATGGTTTTTAACATGTTAGTTACACTGTAATTCTATCTAAATGTACATAGAAAGTAAAAAAAGAAAAAACCTTTTTAACAACAAAAATATTCTATAAAAAAAAGGTTAATAATTGACAAGGTTTCATTAATACTATGAAGTGTCTATATTGTATTAAGACACTGGATGGAATGCAGTATCATATCCAGAATTTGAAAAATGTTCATTTGTAGAATACTTGAGTAAGATTAAAATATAAAACTGGAGAATAGGTTATCAAGTTATAAAAAGATGCTTAAAAAAAATGGGACAGCACAACAGCTACTGAAAATACTAATGGAAAATAGTATCAATTATAAAGCCAGAAAATATACAAAATTCACAGAGTTATTTTATTGATTCCAGTCAATTTTTATTTGATTTTTTTTTCAATTTTTTGACATTGAAATGAATCAATGATTTCTATTTTAACTCAATATTTTGAGAAGGCCAACACATAATGAATCACAGCAAACAAGTGTTGAAACTTCTAGTATGATGTCTAGACTCAGCCCATTAGACTCAGAATCTTATTTAATGTCCGGAATATACATAGACACTGATTAAAATTTAAATCTTCAAGTAAATGTTGACAGTTTTCAAATGTCAATTTGTCAGTACAGAAGTGATTAATAAACTGAAAATTTACTATTAAGTTAATGCTTAGGTACAACTGTATTTGCCATGTTTTCAAACACTTAACTGATTAAAACTTTTCTTAAAAACAGAATAGGTATGTTATTGTTCAACTTTGAACTTTATATCATCAAGCAGAAAAAGAAAAATTCAAAGTGGAGAAATAAAGCAAGCCAAATCTAAGGATACAAGCATGACTGAAAAGCATGCTTGAAAATTTCAAATACATCAGAAATTTAGCTGTGACAAAACATTGATCATACTAAACAAGAAATGTTTTGCACATTTTCTTGGCAATATCCTTTGCTGTCAGATAAATCTGATGCCCTTACCAAAAGTACTAAAAACTTAAAAATAGACCAAGCTCAAAATAAGCACATATCTTGCTCACAGCAATGGATTAAAGATAAGAACAAATCAAAATGGATTAAAGATAACAACAAACCATTTACCCAATAGTCAAGATTTGTAAACATTCTTCTCAGACAAGCTCTCATAAGATTTGATAACAATAAAAAAAAAAAAAATTATATAATTGGCTTAAAACAGTTTATACAGTTGCTACATCTGACAAACCACTTTTAGAGTAATGTGTGAAATCCAAACAAAAAATGGTTTTGGTAACAATTATAGAAACATTCACAGTTGCAAATCTTTTATGAGTTCTATTGCTAAAACTTTAATTCAGGATAGTACAAATAAGCTAATCAAAGATACATTTTGTCATTGTTTTATCAAATGGAAACTCAAGATTGTGCTGTCGTTGAGCAAGAAATTGTATACTTATGATAAGAGTAACAAAAATGTAACAAAAATGACTTCCACAGATGCATTACAATTGGAAATGCTCAAGGTGTTTTCTATTTCATAGAAAATGCATCAATAAAGGTTGTTTTGAAAATTTTCAACATTCAAGCCAACAGATAGTAAACCAGATTAACAAATTAGGTAATTTAACATAATGGGAGTTCATATATTGGAAGAGCTTTCTTATTTGTCTGATGTTAAGTAGGTAAAGTGAATGGCTTCCAAACCTAGAAAAATGTTATTGCTTTAGAATAAAATATAAAAGCCATTGCTATTCATCTTGAATAAGCCTGATGACAACATTCCAGCCGAGGGTTATTTGAAAGACCATTCCTCTCATAATTTTATGAAACACCTATATGACCTATCAATTGTGAAAGAACTATCCAAATCCTTGTTGCAGACCTTAATGAAATGGCATTAATCAGATTAATTGCACTGAAATATATTCCAGGAAACCCCAAATAAAATTTTGCCTCATAATATGATACAGGGTTTAAGAAAATGGGAAATATAAAAGGAAGCTAGCAGAGCTAGATTACATGACAGATGTGAACATTTGTTCACTCAATGACAGTGGTATCAACATTTTCAGATTATGTAAACTTCTGATAGGAATCATTTTCACTACTTCAGATTTTTAACTTTCACAACGTTTTTGGCTACAGCTAAACTAGTTATCTATTGTACAAATTACTTGCCTTTACTTCTCTAGGACAGTACTTTACATAGAATAATAATAATAATAACGATAATTGAATAGGAGTGGATTAGCTTTAATTTGCTCTTACTGGACCAGAGGATTCCACTGATACACAATTTAAAATGACAATTATTTTCAAGAATGAACAGAATGTCTAAATAAACTAAAACAAAATTCCTAGATCTGTGAGCTTCACATCTGGCTTAATGAAAACACAAAAGGTTATCGTATGATTATACACACTGGCAACAATGTGGATTTTGTTTTAAATGGTATAATGCAGAAAGGAAGACATATCAATGTATAAATAAGTACATGTTTAACTTAGACATGGACTTTGTCTTTTGCTAACATGTTCAAATTTTGGGACCTACCAAATATTTGAAAGGACTCAGGCAAATTTCTGAAAAAGTATTGGACATGGACAGTAGGAAAAAATAATAATAAAAATCTTGGCAAAAAAAATAAAAACCAGTTAATCTATTGTTTTTAAATATGATTAATTTATCTTTGAGTACGATATAAACAACAACAAATAATGCCTGATTTTCTACAGTATGTAATAAAATACATTTCTCAATTGTATATAAGAATGTATTAAATCAAACAGCAGTAATTTGTTTCAATCATTAACATACAGGATTCTGTAAGTTTTATTATACAATTAAACATCTTTGCTAGATTATGATATTTTGTAGCAATAATAAAAGAATAGGCCTAACCTGTAATAAAGCTTTTTGTAACTGACGTTTTGTATTGACCAGCTCTTCTTCCGTTTTCTTAAGGTTTTCTTTCAGCCTTGCATTTTCTGATTTCAGTGTTTCACAGATCTGCAGAAAAACACAGTCAATACTGATAATAAAGGCAATTTTACTAAAAAATTTTAATATGCATTAAATATAAACATGTTATTTTTTCTAGGTATTATAAATCTACAAATACTGTATTTCAAGTAAATATTCATGTACACATATCTAATATGAAAATACTTTCACAAAACATCCTTAGGTGTTAAGTTAAGTATGTCTTTTGGAATGAAAAGCTCAAACATTACATACAGTATGATACCTAATATTGTTATGCAAGAGCACACGATATAGTTATTTTGTATATAATTATTTCTTGATAAATTGTTATTGGTGTTTTATCAGCACAAATCTACACAATGAGCTATCTACACTCTCTCCACTGCAGAGAGTGATTCCTTGGAATTTAATGTTGTAACTCCATAAAGTTACCACTGACTTACCAAGGAACTTCTTACCACAAGTTTTAAAGATAGCATTATTTTGAATTAAATATAAATATTTGTTTATTATTTTTTGTTATTATTTAAAAGTTTAGTAAATAGATAGCACTGTTGTAGTGTTTTTAAATGAGGAGAGAATAATACAATTACATTATTCAGAAATAAACAATTCCAGTAAAAAATACCAAGACAGTACTGGTGAATGGAGTCTTTGTCTTTAAGTGAACTTCAATATTCAGATACTATTTTGACTATGTGAATTAAACTATAACTTTCATAGACTGTTTGATACTATTTAGACTATGTGAATTAAGCTATAACTTTCATGGACTATTTGATACTATTTAGACTATGTGAATTAAGCTATAACTTTCATGGACCATTTGATACTATTTAGACTATGTGAATTAAGCTATAACTTTCATGGACCATAGTCTAAATAGTATCAAACAGTCTATGAAAGTTATAGCTTAATTCACATAGTCTAAATAGTATCAAATGGTCCATGAAAGTTATAGCTTAATTCATATAGTCTAAATAGTATCAAACATTTGATACTATTTAGACTATGTGAATTAAGCTATAACTTTCATAGACTGTTTGATACTATTTAGACTATGTGAATTAAGCTATAACTTTCATGAACCATTTGATACTATTTAGACTATGTGAATTAAGCTATAACTTTCATGGACTGTTTGATACTATTTAGACTACATGAATTAAGCTATAACTTTCATGGACTGTTTGTTTTGTGTCAATAAGTCACACATACAATTGAGTTCATTTCAACCACTAACTGTAGGGGGATAAGATGGTTGTGTGTTAAACCTGTTCATAAAACATCTTCATGATGCTAATGACATTATTGATGTACTCATTATGAATTGAATCAACATGAAATAGGAAGCTTAACATGGTAGACAACAGCTTCTTATTTGTTACAGACTAAGATGTAATACTTTCAGTGGAATGCAGTTAAATTGCATCACATCATCCATTGTAAATTTGAAAATACAAGAGATCTAACAGAGATTTTAAAGTTAATGGTAGAAGGGTACAACAGAGTACAACAGGATCTATAGTATGGTGTGATGTTAAAGATTGCTTATCCTGATGAATTGTGAAAATATAATGGTGTGAAGACAACTTATTCGTTACCTGTGAAAGTGACTATACCTATAAAAAAAATCTTCTTCTTCAATGAATTAGAAAGCAACCAATTACCCCTGAATGTACTCCCAACACTGAACAAAATTAAGATTTTACAAAACTCTAGCCTAAAAATAAAAATCTAAAGCCAGTACATAAGAAATTTCCAGATAATATAACCTTACAAGACAAAGTTATCAAAAGTCCTGATGAACACAATAATCCACAACAAAATAACACTCCCTTCTATTACCATGGAGAACAAAATAAAACACCCCTAAGACGACTTTTGTGAATGAGAAAGTTAAGAGTTGTTAAGTGTCATAATTGTAAAAAGTTATCCAATGAACCTAAAGATTTAGCAAAAGCTCTGATTATACAATACCAACTAATATTTGTTTATAAATTGTTTTATGTTTCAAAGTATATTATTTTGCTCTAAAATATCAATATTTGTAATTTGCAAATACTATTTATACATTTTAAAGTTTGATCAACAGGTAACACTGTTGTAGTGATTTGTAAATATCATGAAAATACCTTTGAAAGTCCGATACATTAATGAAATGTGCATGAGGTTGGCTTTAATTTTAATTTGGAACGTTAAAAGAGTTTTTATTATGAAGGATAACAACAAAGTAAGATAATTAAACCTTATTTCACTAAGTTCTACCTCAAACACAGGATGCTTTCACTTTTAACCGAGGACAAATTTTGTTAGAAAGAAAACAGATCTCTGGTACCTTCTTGTAGTTTTGATCTCCTTCCTCCGCTAAGCTGCCTGTGCTACTGTTGAGGGAACTTCGGCCCAGCCGATCTGTATACCTTTTTGGTGTCTCTGAATGACCATTGTCATGTTGTGTCCCTATTGACCCAAAATGCGACCTCTGAGATTCAGATGATGTCTGAAGAAGAAATACTCGTGTTTTTTTATAGCCTTTAACATTAACCCTAAAACTACTGGTCTGCTTAAATACCTTTCATTACCAGTGAGGTTCACATATTGCTTTACATTGAATAATTGCATGTTTTTGCCTGCCCCACAGTGCAAAGAAATGATAAAAAACATTTTGTCAAATAACTCATCTTCTAAGTAAAATAAACAAGAAACCAGTAATTAGTAGGATTAAACAGTGTTTATATTTAACTATTTTTGTGTAACTCAAATGTTATTAGCAATCCCATAACCAAGAAAGTAATGGACTCACATGTAATTTGGTGCATAAATTGTTTTGAAAAATGCAATAGTGACCCTATAAATAATTCTAGGATTAATGTGTAAAACTGTTGTTTTTTCAGAATGCTAGTAGACATTTTTAATAAAGTATCACTTCAAATTCTTGAAAAATCTTAAATGATATACAAAAGAAAATATTGTATGTGAATGCAAAGACAAAATATTAATTGTATCAAAATGCTAAAATGTAAAACAATGGACTAACTGCAAGAAAATGCTAAAATTTAAAACAGCAAATCTACTGTAAAACAACACAGTGATGTAAATATAGATTCACTGATAATAAAAAAGTGCATGAGATACCCCCACTGTAAGATAACAGAATGGTTATTTTCTTCATTGCACACACATTTTAGATTGAAAATAAAATTTTACAACTTTTTTCTCTCTTTTAACTAAAATTAAATATGTTAATTTCTGTGGTACCCTAAAAAACTTAACTTATTAAATGCTTTTGTTGCACTGAAAAAATAAAAATATCTAACATCTCTTAATGCTTTAAGTACCATTTCTAGAAAATGTATATACATAATAAAATAATTACAACTGAACAGACCTACCCTCAGCAGCCTAGGCTTGGGTCATTTATTATTTACTTAAGTATTTCTCCAGGACAAAAATGATTCATTGACAGTCAAACATTGGATATACTTTATTAAAAAACATTACAATCTTTCTTTTGTCCCACTCAAATCTGGTTAATCATAAGATGCTAGGCACTTTCTATTAACTCTTTGATTCAATGTAGCATATCCATGCTCTGACACTCACTGTATGATCACACATCAGTTGCAACCATTTATCAGTTTGTGGCTGACTTGAGAAGATTAAATATTTGCAAGCTGAGTCAGAGCCAAGAATTTGGCTCAAACCCACATTGGCTAACCCAACTTTAACGTAAAAATGGATCTACCGTAAGACAACATACAGATATAAAGATAGATCCATTATAACACAACAAAGAAATGTAAAAATGATTTTACTGCACAACAGTATTAAAATGTAAGGACAGATCCACTGTAAGAAAATATGGAGATGTAAAGGTAGATCCTCTGTACAAAAGCATGGTGTTGGGACAATTCCACTGTTAGTGTTATACATGGTGATGTTGTAAAGAAATATTATCATGTAAATATTGTAGCAGCTTCCCGGAGCTAAGGAAATTAATGTGAATGCATACTTCTCTTTCTTCATTGCTAAGTATTAAAAAATTGACACAGTATTTTCACAAAAATATCTCATACAACTGCTTCCATCAAATTGTACTTCTCATACAATTTGGCATCTTTAGTCTTAGAAAAAAATCTTTAATACATCATTCACTAATACTACATTATATATTTATTACATCCAATCTTAGTGTGTACTAATCTCACCAGTTATAAATGGTAAATTGCTGAGTAACAGAAACTTGGAGTGTTTTTATCACATCTGTTGAAGAGACACATTAATTTATCAGTGTGTGTGTCTGCAGCCCTTCTTACTTGTTTGCAGTAATATTTTTAGCACACTAGAAACATCATCTGGCCTCATTTCAACCAGCTTGTCTGAGTCACTTCCCTAAGGTCTTGGTTAGTAAGCAACATTTAATCTTCAATCCTCCAGGTATACTCATAGTTTTATGAGAGCTACTATTAATAGCCTCTGTGAAATAGCATACTTGAAACAAGGCAAAACCAAACATTATAAAGTGAATCAACAAGGTTTTACTGATACAACAGAAACTGGCAATTAAACATACTACTTTATTGATCCATTTTAAGCACAAATAGGCACTGGATAACATAGCATTTTAGTTTAGTGTGAATATTTACAAAAACACTACATTTATGTTTCTTTTTCAAGAAAACTATGCAATTTTGCTTACTTTGGTCTTAATTTTCTTTTAATTGTAGAAAAACAATAATAAAACCTATACACATAACTATAATATGATATTTTAATGAATTATTATCAGAATTCACTGGTGTGTGATCACTATATCTTCCCTTTATTATATTTATCTACTTAATAATTGCATCTGTATAATTACATGAAATTCAGAAAGCTACATGCAACATCATCCAGTCAACAGTAGTATTACATGCCAGAGAGAAATATCACATTCACAGTACCAATACATGTTACGGTGAACAATAAACAGCCAAGCCTAACATATGAAACACTAGACAACTAATCTAGAGGATCAGAAATAGAATCTTATTGCACAAGAAGTTGATCAGGTAACGAAATACAAGCAAACTGTAATTAATAATAACTTCTAAACTTGTAAGTCATAAAACTAAACAGGAATTGATGTTTATGTTGCAGTGTACAGCCAAGCCTAGTATATGAAACACCAGTCAAATAATCCAGAGGATCATAAGTAGAACCTTAATGCACAAGAAGTTCATTAGGTATTGAAATACAAACAAACTGTAATTAATAATAATTTCTAAACTAGTAAGTCATAAAACTAAACAGGAATTGATGTTTATATTTATACATAGTATTAGATCTAAGTCTTCTTTCTTTCTTCAGAGTGTAGAATGTATGTACATGTCATACAAAAACTTGTGCTAAACTGGTTGTTAGGTTAGTACACTTTTTGTAGTATTGTGACCTGTTCCATAATTTAAAAAATACACCTCTGTATTATTTGAAATATATACTTCATTTTTAAACAAAATATTTACCAATAGCAAACTTTTTTATAAAAAACATCATGGATCTCAAATAAGAAATGTGTTAATAGTTATGTGCTTGATACTGTTAATGAATATAAAAGCTAATATATGTAAAGGAAAGTGACCCAATTATGTTGACAGTTAATGTATATAAAACCAAGTTGGATGTTTCATTCACAGCATAAAAAATAAGATAAAAATCATCAATATTACAAATACGAAAAAAAACACTCTCATCATATTATAGTGCTGCAAGCATGTCTGGTGATTTGATTTGAACCCAAATCTCTCAGATTGTGAGCCAAGCACCCTAATCACCAGGTCATTCCAAGCTAACCCTGAAAGAGTATTACACAATAATTCTTACCTTATACATTAATTAGGAACATGCTCACATTTAAACTACTTCTATTTTTTTTGGACAAAATAACTGAAACACCTAACCTTTTTAACTTCAAGAAAAAGAAATATGTATCCATATAGTAACTTTACTGTGCATCAAATTACAATATATCATTGAATTTTTCTGCGTACAACTAGTGTATTATTGTTTTTTCAGGAAAAGGTGCTAAAAATGTCTGTCAAGTTAAATGGTTTTTCAGATATCCAAAGATACATGATTGTAAGTGAACATCTAGCCAGCTTCTCAGTGACTCAAACATCTAAACTAATACATGTATTCCAAGGGACAATACCAAAAATGATGTCAAAATGGATAACAAAAATTAAACCCACTTCCGCCCAAAATAATAATGGTAAAAAAACAAGTTGACAGATCATAAGAAATAAAAAACAAGAGTAGAGCATCAAAAGTGTGTGTCAGCTTAGTTAGCCTACAACAACCAATCTCTGTCAAAACAATTTGAAGAACTACACAAAATGTGTTGTAAATTTGCTATTCAGAAACCTCTAATAATACCAAATAATTCAAAAGTAAAAGTAAAATGATGTCAAAAACAAAAATTGGCCTGAAGATTGATTGAATAAAAAACAATCAGACTAATAATATTTTACACTTTTATCATGAAATGGATGTATTAATCAAACTTTTTTTTTAATTAGGTGCTCTAAGAGCGATTTTGAGCATGTTTGGGGGCACAAAATATGAATAATTCCTCAAAAAAAATATGGCACTTTTTATCCAGTTAGAAACAAAATTCGAGCATCGAGGTCTTGATTGAAGATATTTGTTTTTACACAAAACTTACTCATTATGTCATATAATGTGGGCAATTACCATTCTTTATTGAGAAGTCACGACAACGGAGTATAGTGTCATAGAACATAGAAATTATTAACAAACAATACTCTTAAATATAAATTCAAAGACAAACAATTTCACTCCAGCAAATGTTAATGCTATGTTCCAACAAAATTTTATTCCTTATACATGTATATGCATTGTCTTACCACTAACCACATTTTCAGCTTTGTACCATGACTGCAACAAGCTAATGAATTATTCTGAACATACATACAACAAATTATTTATTGCTACTGTTCGGTAAGAGCATGAAAATGATTTGATCCATGTGAAGGGAAATGGACAAGTGAAAAATTTGGGATGTAGTTTACACAGTAAACCATAGACAGAAAATATTAAGGGCACAAATATTGTGAGAAATGCATGAAGAACATCAAAACTATAACATAGTAATAAGTATGGTCACCACAAGATAGACAGTCCACTCTTGTCAGATTTTTCTGTCCTTTCACTCCCAGTTGTCTCATTTTTTTCTTCAGTGTGATGACATGCTAGACGGGCAAGTTTCTCTGCCTGTTCTTTGATTTTATCTTGGTGGCTAACTTTGGTTTTAAATGTAGGCGGTGACGTTTCCTCTCCAGATCCTCCCTCTTATCTGCCAACTCTCTTGTATACAGATGCCGATTTCCACAATGTTGTAGCTTACTTGTTTGTCATTTGGGTCATGGAGAGCATCTGATCTTGAGAAGATTTGGACGGTAGTTTTCCTGTTGGACCGGAGTCAATATTTCACAGTCTGGATTGAGCTGCAGGTATCCATTTTCATGTTTGGTGATTTGTTGTCCATTACATCACTTAGAATGTTGAATGATGATTCCACCAATGGGCCATGGAAGATACCGAGAAAAGCAGTCACCACCTTCGACAGGAACTCATACGTCCATTGTCCAGATTGCTGGCCCAGTATTTGTCTACCCTCAGTCTATGATCTGGTAAATCACTGTTCACTTGATAAGACTGGACTTCCAGCTCGTATGCTTCTCTCTCTCTAAGTTATTCAGCTGACATGGAATGAACTGTGTCAGTGCCTTCAGCTCTCACTAATACTGTGTATGCCCGGATGCCTCTGGGTCAATGGCTAATAATACCCACAATAGTGTATCATCTAGGGGCATCTTGCTTTGCAGATATCTGCCATATGTCAAACAAGCAGTGCAAGCCAGTTGGATAAGCTTTGTCTTCACAACATCATCTCTCCTGCTCTCCTTCAGAATCTCTTTCATTGCAATACCTGTGAACGTGCCTTTCTGTTCAAGATACTGGCCATCATCAGATGTCCAAGCACTCATCTCTTGTTTCACATAGCATGAGAGGAATTGTTTGAAGACATCTTTTTGATTGTTGTGCAGCTTGTGTACCATGGGCTCATATGTCTGGAATACATACACATAGTTTTTCAACATATGAAGCACTGAAGAATAGAAATTCATGATGAGCAGTGTTCTCTTACTCTCATGGAACAGTCTCGCTATCATCCTCTGCTTCCTCTTTTCACCATTTATTGGCTGTCAGCACATTTTTGATCTCACAGATTATCCCTCTAGACTCTTTGCTGATAGCCAGTTTCCTGTATATACAGTGAGTACTGTCTGGATGTAAATGGACTAATCATCATCTGACAAGAAGGCATAGCAGAACACAACAAGTACATCCCATATTCTCAGTATGTTGAGAGACACATCATACATGGACAATCATCTGCTTGATACATAACACCTTGGCTTTATATTAAGCAGTTCACAGACTTTAGATAGGTAGTCTTCCATGTCAGCTGATCACTTGCAATTAAATTGCTGTCTTCACATGGGCATGATGGAGGTGGCCAGAGCTTTTCTGCACAGTGTATGTGCAGTGGAATGTTCCGTAGAGAGCAGCCAATGACCGAGTTGCATTGTAATTATGTCAAATTCTTTGTTTAAAAACATTGTGAGCACATGGAACATCATGGTAGCATGGGCTGACCTCCCCTATTTTTTAAACTGGATTTATACAAATCACAGAAAATGACCCAGATGACCAAGAAAAACTCTGAAATCCACAAATCTGAAGAAAATTGACATTCCAGAAGTAGTGAATATTTGAAAAATATACTAAAAGAAATGATACAATTGATACAGAAGGAATGATGGAGTAACAAAGATTTAAGGATGAAGTAGTACGGAGGTGATAGGATGAAGATGAATAAAGTTATTAAGTAGGACATATGACTTTTCAGAAGATGGGAGAGAGCATGATGACCTGCATAATACAACAAAAGACTTGAAGTAAGAGATGAGATGAAAATTAATGAGAGACCACATGATAATTATTAAATGATAAATTACATTATATGAGTTTGAATATGAATAAAATTTTATGTCTCACCTCTCTGTCACCCTCAGATTCTTGAGACTGCTCATCTTCTTGCTTTTCATCCTGCTGTAGTTCCTGATCTGGACTACTCTGTTGATCACTTTGATCCTGAAGAAATACCAAACATTATATTAACAAATATACCCAGTTTTCGTTCTTAGCTCTAAAGATTGTACATAATTTTATTTTTTACATAACATATAAAATATATTCTTGACATTACAGAATGTTTTAACTTTTTCTTGACACTACAGATTATACAAACCTTTGTTCTTGATATTACAAAAAAATACAAAAAGTTTGTTTTAACACTATTTTTTAATGTTGCAGAACAAATAAACTTCTTTTTTTACACTGTACAATATATAAATACGTTATTGCTCTACAAGTTATATAAACGTTTTATTCTTAATAATAAAGAATACATCAGCTGCTTCTTCACACTCTAGAACATAAACACATTTTGTTTTTGAAATAACAGAACTTACAAACATATTCTACATGCCGTAAAACCTAAAATCTCTCATTCTTGACACATTCTACACTGCAAAACATGAATTTTGTTCTTAAAAATAGAGAATGCACCAGCTCATTCTAAGTACTATAGAACATTCAATCAAACATACAAGCCCATTCTACACTGTAAAACAAACTTTTGTTCTTGACAAAATAGAACATACAAGCTTATTTTAAACACTATAACATAAGTAAACAGTTTTTCACACTAAAAATCATGCAAAGTTTTCGTTCTCGGTGCTCCAGAATATACAAGCTTATTCTAGAGACACTAGAATAATTTTGTTCTTAACAATGCAGAGCATACAAGCTGATGTGAAACATAAAAGTTTTTCTTAACATTACAGAACATACAAGATCATTTTAAATACTGTAATACATAAAAAGTTTTATTTTTTGACACTAAGGAACATATAAACTCATTCAAGAAGTTTGAACACATAATCATTTTATTCTTGAGACTAGAGAACATACAAACGTTTCAGCATCCAACGTGCAACACTAAAATAAAATAGAACATTTATTAGTGTTCAAACAATATCTACAAACTTATATTATAAGGTATGTTAGTGCTACACTGACCTCAGAATCTAAATAAACAACTCCTGTGGATCTCCTTTTTGGTCTTCTTCTTCTCTGAATAGCTGCCTGAGTCCCTTGAATAATTTTATTTTCATAGTCTTTTTCTAAATCTAATAAGTGAGCAAAACATCCGAGCATATTTATTCAAGTTTTTGTTAAAACCAATTAGAAATTATAATACCCACTTTTACAGTACCATATATGACTTTACAAGAGTTTTTATTAGACTATGTTAAACTATAAAAAGAACAAGGAATTTTTCCGAAAGGTCGCTTAGCCAATAAATTGAATGTTTATGTTCTTACTTTTACTTTTAGGATACTGTAAGTACAGAACTAAAGGATGGCAATCTTACCTTAACTTTGAACAGAGCATGAGTACCCTTGAAAAACTGAGCAATTACTCATAAATTTTGAAAAATACTTTAAATCCCCAAAAACTTGAATTCTTATCTTCACTTAAAATAAGGCTAAGAACAAGAATATCTGATAATGAACTCTTACACTTACTTTGAACACATCATTAATGCCCTTGAAAAATGAATTCTGACTCTTATCCTAGTACAAAGCATAAGTATCCCTGAAAAGGTAAGATTACCTTAACTGCTTTAGAGAGGTCAATAAATGTTGCTGAGGCACTGACGTTTTATCTTCACTTAAAACAAGGCACAAGTAACCCTGATGAAGTGATCCTTACTTTTAAATGTTCAACTTTTACCTCATTTTGAACAGGATGTGAGTATCTAGGAAGAGTGAATGCTTACCATCATTTTGACCAGGCCTTGTGCGCAGTGGTATAGTAACAGAATGTGTAACTTCAGGACTGTCTGTTACACTGGAAACTTGAGGATGTTCGCGTGTATGAACAGGAGAAGGCACTGTGATGGATGTTGTGCTAACATTCGTGGTTGAACTAGGAGTACTTCTGGTATCAGTTATGTTCTGGGACTGTTTGGCTAGTGTTTGTTCAGCCTGAAGCAACAAAATGTTAACAAATACTAAAACAAAACTATCTCAGATCAGTAACAGGAATAACTGATGCATCAATATATAATTAGAGCTAAAAGAAATAGTGGTTTTTGCTATTCAAATATTCTTTATCTGTATTCAAATCATATTTGAATATTCTTTAATAAAGACAATGAAAATATCATATAGCTTTTCATATATTAGTTGTACTATGTTTACTGTACACTTAAAGCAATTACTCACAATATCATCAATAAAATTTACAGGCAGTATACAAGATTGTTCAGATATACTAAATAATATTACCAGCATTCAGGACTATACAGATATTGCCACTTTTGAATGTACTTGAAAATATTTTATTTAAAAAAATTAAACAAATGCAAAAATGCTAGCATAAGATAAAAATGTAACTAAAATCAAATTTTAATGAAGTTAAAGGTACATAAAAAAATTTGTAACTTGATTTTAAAAGAATTAACCTTTTTACTGTCTTCTGCATGCTTTCTCAATGACCCTTGTCTCTCCCATGCTGAGCTCGCTGTAACTGTGGTAGTAGTAGTAGCTGCCAGTGTCGTAGCAGTGGTTGTTTCCGTGTGCTCTTTTTCATTCTCCTTCTGTTCATCCTCTTCTTGTTGTTTACGTAATAACTGTTGTTCTGCTGACTTTAGATCTTCTAAGGTTACACCCTAAAATATATATTGTAAAAAATTAACTATACTTATATGTACATGTATTTCAGTTGTTCAAATAGAATTTTTTCATGAATGTACATCTTTTGAGAAAAGATACTGTAATGTTTAAAGTTTCACCATTCATAACTAACAAGACATTTTAGTGCACTATACCTATAATGGAAGAATATAACAGATTTTTGGAATGATATAGAATAGTGATAATATGTAACAGATCATCAAAGTGGCCTCGCTCTATACATAATTATGTGAAATTAATAGCTGATATAGTTTATTTTCAATAAATAATAATTGTTTTATTTGTGTGTGATGTTTGAATATTGTATCCTTCAGGCCTGATGAGCCCTGGTATGAAGCAAAAGGCCTTGTCAGCACTGGATATAGTAAATACGGTGTGGTTGAAAAAGTGTTATACATTCTTCTGTACATTCATTTATAAAGTTATTTCAATAACTAAGCTTCCCTATTGTCTTGCTGTAGAAGAAAAATGTTGAAGCTTTCAAACAAATATATAATTCAAGTTAACATTTTCAGGAACAAAAAGAATTTCTAAAGAAATTATAAACAATTTCCATATCTAAGGTTTGTTTGTAAGTTTTCTAAACTTTCCATTAGATTCCTTTATTCACCATTACCTGGTTCTATTCTTCATTCACCCCTAAAGCTGTGGATAGTCAGTATTTTAATAAGCCACAAATTATTGTTAAAACTACTTTATTTAACCTACATTAATGTAAATAATTTATAATCTCTTTTAACAAATAATTTTTAACTCTTGGTTCTAACTATTCGGAAAGTAACTGTTTAAACCACAAGTTGTAACATCATAAAAAAGTGGCAACAAAGGGCTGTAGTAATAAAAAACTTTAACTGAGCAGATAAAACACCTGATTTACATCAAGAAGACCAAGGATCAAATTCCTATCACTACTAACATAGAAATAGTTCTTCTCAGAACTTTCCTGAAGACACCAATGTATTATCAGCCAAAATATAGAATAAATGAGTTAGTAATCAGTATCTAGGTATTAAAAAAAGGTTATTAATTAATAGTTAAAACTTAGGTGATCACATACACTACTATCAATCATAGCAATGTAACTAATATCTAGGTATTAAAATATGTTACTCGTTAATACTTAAGACTTAGGTGATCACACCTTATTTTGAATAGATAATCTTATTACTTTTAAGACATTTCTATTGTCTAGCAGGCTACATCATAACAATTGATCTCTGTATCTACCTATAACATAAATAGTTCGAACTGATAGAAATTATTTTAAAAATTTATAAAATATATCCTATTAAAAGCTTTCCAAGAAGAGAAAATTAAAAACAAATTATTTAGTAGTACGTAAGCATAAATATCTAATTTTTTTACAACTGATAAGTGATTTGATATAACAAAACTTTCTTATGGCACACAGAATAAATACTTTCTATAATTCTTTTGAGAACAAACAAAACTCAATACAAAATAAACAGGATGCCACCCTGCCTTACCGTAGTGGAGCGCCGTGTTTCTCTCACACGCTTGGCATGGGCTTTTCTTCTTGTTTCTGACTCTTCATCTCGTACTGGAGGCACAAAAGACCTAAACACCATTCACCTCTTATAAGTTCATTTTATTACACATATGAATTTCAACTCATAAGTTTATCTAAAATAGAAATGTAGAAATACAGTAATTTTTTAACTTAACAAAGGGCATGTCTTCAGTAGTAATTCACAAAACATATAAAATTAGACTGTACAAAACAATGAATATTATTATCAAACTTCAGTAATTTCTTTTCTTGCCTATATACAACACACATAAAAACAAATCACTCTTACACTAATGCATTTTTAATGATTCAACTTGCAATATCCTTATCTCTTCAATAATATTAACTGAAATTCATTATGTTTTTCATCACAAATAAACCTATCAGCCTGTAGTAACATAAGTATAACTTGTTAATTCAAATGAATTATAAAACAGCTGTAAGACAGATTAGATAAAATTTAACTCCTTAAAACTTCTCATACTAACTTTCCTAAGATTTGACAAACTGTTAGTCATATTATATATCAGATCATGTATCAGTGTTTTTTTTTTTCATTGCTTAACAATAAAACCATAATAAAATATGCATATCAACTTTTTTTCCAAATGAGCTCCATAAACGGTTCAATACACAACAATCATATTTCATATGTATTAATAGCTAAAATAATATACATATGTACCTTCTGATTTGGCCTTCTAGAGGTGGTGTGGTGACACCAGTGGATGGTGAACTCAAATTTGAAGATGGCGTGGATGGAGCGGAAGCATTGATTATGGAAGGGGAAGGCATGGCATCTTCCTTTGTACTAGGAATTCTGTTGTAATTACAAACTCATTTTTAAAACAAATTCCCATCACTAAATTTATCCAATAAAAAATAAAAATAAATTGAAAATAAAAAAAAGGTATTAAGAATTCACTGTAGGTACTTGAGTTAATTAATAGTAAAACCCTTTGTCATTTTCAAACAAGAAGACATTGAAATGAGTACTTTTTCTAAAATTTTGGTAAAACACACAAGTTTGTAAATAAAAAATGAATGCATTTTCGAAAATCATCCTATGACTGTAACAGTTTTGAACAATTAAAAACTTAATTTACAACTTACAAAATAATTTACTTTATCAATAAAATAAAACTATAAGAAAGATAACTTTTTTTTCCCCAAAACTGTCTTTAACAAAAAAACCTTGTTACACTAATTAAAACTTCTGAATAAAAGAACAAAAACGTGAAACAAAAAATATTTACTTCACTAGCTTTATAAGAGTATTAAAGCATAAGAGGGACTTACACCTTTGTTTTCCACCATTTACCACTAGCACACATACACACTTTGTTCTAAATTCATATACAACTTTTAGACTTAATATTTTAATTACCTTTTAAACATTGTTTAAGCAGACTCCAACAAATGGAAAGTTTTTGTGAAAAATTTTCAGACAAAAGTCGTATACCGTTCAGTAACTTTCAGTTTATCTCATATAAAATAACATGTGCATAAAACATTATTCTAAACATTAATAAGTTTTTAAACTAACAGTGAATAAGGTATTAAGAAATAATTATTTCGTTGCTGATACTCTCTTAGGTAGTGTTTAATCATGAAATATAGGTTACAGATGTTGAGTTCTCAGAGTTTTTAAATAGTGGGCTTATAATATGGAATATGATCTTTTTTGTCTCAGAACTTTTATATAGTACTTTAACTGAAAATAATAACTTTTTTAACACTTGCTTTAATTCTCCTTCTGAATTCTTTTGAGAGCTTTTAAACAGGGAACTTATGATTATGAAAAATTTTTTTAACTTCTGTTCTGTCACTCCTTTGATTCTTTCATAAAAGTTTTGGGAAAAGTAGACATACAGCTAAGAATATTAAAAATGATTTGCTTTTACCTTTGATCTACAGCTTCTCCATATGTTGGTCCATTAGCCTTTTTGTCCTGTGAAGATAAAAATTTACAAATACATATAAAACTGCACAATCACAAACATTTTTTCATTCACAAAACAATCTTAAATGAAGGACCATGTATAAGGGAGAATATGCAGCTCTGGACAGAAAGTTCCTTGAAACTGAAGAAAAACACATTGCTATATCTTTTTTCAAAAGTTAATTTTCGAGATATAAATAATATTTGAGAAGTGTGGCGTATTTTGTGAAGAGTCCTTCACATCACAGTAAACATTGGCCTTGAGAATATGTACCTATGGTTTCAATATCATAAATTTATCAACATTTTGACTTACTTTGTTATGATTGTTTTAACTCTGTTGTTGATTTTGACTGGACATATAATGAAATACATGCAAAGTAATTGCAGTCCCACAGTTGTTAGAAACATGTTAAAATTCGATTTGTGGCATGGCCCACAAATCTTTATGATGGTCCTGGTTAAATTTAATTTTTTTTTAATCAAACTATTCAATAAGTATATAACTCACATAAAGAAAATTTATCAGGTAACATAATGTATGAACCATTTTAATATATATATTAAGTAAAAAAGTATTTTTTTAAGTAAATAAAACTTTTACTAATCTACACATATAAAACCACTGTCTGCAATTAAAGCTCGGTAACACTCAAATTACCTCAGTGGTTAGAGCACCCAAACCTCAAGTGGAAGTCTCACATTCAAATACCAATACAGTTGAGATTTTTTATAATTTTTTTTAACTCTTTCCCTGTTTTAGGAAATTTCTTGTATTATTGATATTCCATAAAGCTTGCTTTTTGTCAACATTATTCATTTGAAAGAAAATTAATGTAATGGGTAATGAAAATATAAATAATTAATATTTATAATTAGTATTTATCCTAGGTTTACAATATCCTCTTGAGTGAAAGTAACTTATCATCATTCACATGCACTTTGAGTGTCACATGCAATGCTTATATGAAGCTACCTTCTAATCTCATACGTTGAACCACAACAACCAGTTCCTATTGCCACATTCATGAACATCAGCTGCATATCAAATAAATGTAGCTGTGTATCACTTGTGATGCACAGAACAGGGACAGGGTTAAATAAGGGATCATGTTTAGAGCACACTCTTTCCATATTCAGAAAAACATGAACACCATGATATTTCAAATTAATGTTTGTTAACATTAGATTTCAAACACTGGATTTCAAAATGGCTCAGTGATTACAGTGTTCGACTCTCATGTTCAAATCCCAGTTGAGTTGGGATTTTATGTTTTTTGTTTTTTTTAATAAATGATCATATTTACAGCAGGCTCTTTCAATACCATTATTAAGCAAATCAAAGATTTCAGATATTGGTTAGCATAACACATCTAGGCTTTTCATTTCAAATGAACAGTTCTAGCACCATCTATGAAATAAATTTAAACTAAAGTTCTGAATTAAACTAAAAATAGTTCAGAAGCAGTGCAAGGAAGAAAACACTGTTTAGCGAAAGAATGAAAAAAATAGATGTATGGCATGGCAAAATTGAAAAAGTATAGGAAAAATTAGGAGAACTGAAACAGAGGGAAAACAACTGACACAATCAAATGAAGCTTCTGAAGAAACAAAGCAAAGAAGATAAATTGATACTGAAAGACAAGCAAATGGGTTCTGGCTCCCAATGTATTGAATGGCTACATCAGCTAGTATGGTTAATATTCTGCTGTTTTTGTATTATTAACAAATATTAAACAAAAATAATAATAATAATCATTTAGACACCACCCCAATAAATCTACAGCTGAATAATAAGCAACATAAAAAACTGGGGATATTTAACATTTCCAACAAAGTTTAAGGCAATTACCAATGACATCTAACAGTTTTTGACAAAAATTCTACGATATAACTTCCACCTTACTTCAGCTGCTGTCTGGACTTCTTGGAGTTTCCTAAGAACCACCAAAGGCTCTTCTTTTGCCGTATCTTGTGTACCCTGAGTTAGAGAAATGTTTGTTTCACCTTTTCTTCTCCAAGGAGCCGCATCATTGGGTAATTCCTGTATTTCAGCATCAGTAGGAGGTTTTGAAACAGGAGACTAAAAGGAAAAAAAAAGGATTCTAACTTGATGGAAAAGTATTATCAAAACAATGAAACAGTCAAAATGTTTTTGAACTGAAAATGAGCTAAAAAAGTTAGATCACATGAATATCTAAAATAAAGTTTAAGTCCACAATAACAAATTTATATGATAAAAGTTTTGACATTTCCATCCATTTATACCTTCTAATTATGTAAACAGACAAGTATAAATTCAGTTTTTAAAGCTTAAGTTCTTAGATCGTAGAAATTTATTTATTTTTCCATAGACAAAAAATAGTATACTGTTATTATTTAATACTTCAATATATATACTTTGAAGAACACTGCTGTTTTGTTTGTTGAACTAATAATTTTAATTTCTCAATACTGAGTTTAAACTAAGTATCAAAAGTTTATGTACCTCAATTTCTTTGGCTTTATCTTCAGAATGCTCATCAGCAATGTTGGATTCATTTCTTTTTACTGGGTGAGGAAATTTTATGTTAAAAATAATTAAGAGTTTAAACAAAAATCTAAAAAGATTACAAACACAAAGCTGTAACTAAAGCATGGTTTACCTATAGAAATGACAATAAAATCTTTCCAGTAACAAGTTCTGGAGTCAGTAATTTAAATACATTCACTACCATAACATATTTTTTTATAATAGTTCTGCAAAATAATCATACAAGTTTATAAAATTATTTTTTTTCAATCATGCATTCATATTTCTTGAAAAGAGATAGATCTACTTAAGTTAAGTAAAAAACAAAAACTTTCCAAAAATATAAGAGTTCAAAAATTAGTACAAGCTGTTTCCTTATTTTATAACATTACTCCTAAAATTTCATTTTTAACTATGTAATTTCAGTGGTGTTTAAATTCAGAAATTATGTTTCATCCATACACATATAGTACATATTGAAGTGTAACAACGTAAATTCTCACCTATGGTCAGATCTTCCTTCGTTTTAATCTCTATATTGGAAGAAGGTTCTGGAACACTTTCATCTGTAACTTTACTCTCTGTCAATAAGCAGAAAAATTATGTCTTTAAGCAAAATAATTCTGCATTCTTGATATATAAATTTACATACTAATTTATTCATTATGGGCCAAGTACAATTTCAAAAGTAACTACTAGGAATCTTATCATTTCTCAACCAGTTCAACTAGCTTTAAATAAGATTAATAAAATTGAGATATCAACGTTTTGTATTTGCCCAATAATTTATTTGTAAAGTTTAATATAAAGAGAGATTTAGGCCTAGGAGACATGGAAGTAAATTTTTGGAAATCGTTGTTGTAAATGGCACCATTGTAAAAACATGCTAATTATACACATACGGTTTATAAGGAACTTCATGCTTACTTCGTGGTTTATCATTCTGAAGATGGTGGAATTTTCTCCACCGAAACATGTAGAGTTTTTAAAGTTTTTTTAACATATATTTTTATACTTTACAAATAAATTATTGTGCAAGTAAAAAATGTTGATGTCCTGTTGATGTCTTTCGTCATATTTTGGAGACAAGATAAAAAAACAAAACACACTCAAATGCAAACTACTTTATTGTTATTATTAACCTTTAGAATCCTCTATTATTTGTGATAAATTCAGGTTTACCTACTACATAGACACAAATACAGTGCTTAATAACAAAGCAGGTTGTATATATATTTTTCTTTGTTAAGGTCCTCCAATTAATTTTTTTTTCCTAACTTGTTTCAATATAGCTGTATTTTAATTGTCTTAATTTTTATGTAAATCATTTTAAAAATCATCATTAATTTTATAAGGCAAAAAAACAACAACAACATATTACTGATCCCTATACAATTTATCTTCTAGTCACGCTCTTCTTAAAATGAAAAACATATTTTTACCCTCTTCTACTTCCTCTTCAGGTAATCTTAATTTAGCTTCAATCTGTGCTCTTTCTGCAAAAGTATCTTTCATGATTACGTTGCTCTTATCTGTACCACTCATTCGAGTTACTGAAGTTCTTCTTTTTAAAGGAGGTGGGGCTTTTCTTCTTAATATTTCTCCTAGTTCTGGACGCTCCTTCTGAAGCTGTCATACAACAAAGCATGCTTTGTCAGAGAATAACTTTCACATGGAAAGTTGTGTACAAACACATTATAAATATTACATAGATGGCTTTTAGGAAAGTGTTAAATGTTAATCGTTGTAATGTATGTTTTCAGAAACACTATATTCCAAACTAAGAATCGTTTTCTTCAAACAATAGGAGGTAGTTTATAAAACATTAATTATCACTTTTTTTAACAACTTTAAAAGGTGTCTTCATATATACATTTAGTATTAAAAAGAATTATGAAAACAGTCAATAGAATAAGTATAAAATGCAAATATTATGGGATTCCTCTACAGTATGAAAATGAACTGCACCAGAGTACGGCCACATGATGATAGTTAGTACTGTCACTGGCTGTCATCCAACCAATGAGAAAGTGGAACACCATCATAATGCCTATAAAAGGACAGGCAGTACAACTATTCCCAGATGTTGTATGGTGAATACATTTATTGTTCCCAAAACAGAAATACCACATGACAAATGTGTAGAAATTAAAGTTTAGACTGGTGACAGTTTTAGGAGAAATTGCATGTTTCATAAGGAGCTGTGTTGAAACCCTAAAGAATGTATGTGAAACTAATACTGTTGATAATGAAAATAGTCAAGGTACAAAACCCAAACTGTTCAAAAATAGTGTTAAGTAACTCAGGATATGCTCTTTCTGTGATACACAATAGGCCAGTAAAAAGCTGATCTAGCTATTTGAACAGGTGTGAGTAGTAATTTAGAAATCAATGATTTGTATGCACAATGATATCACTTTGCTTACAAATTGTTGTTTGTTAATTTACTACTTTATTAACATAATGTGCTTTCCTACACAAGTACAAGAGTAATTACCTCAAAAACAGTAAAATACACACTGGCATGAAATGGCCTCACTGGATATGTAGTTGTTCAAAACCACTGCTTATACAAATTAATCACACCAAAAGGCTGAAATAGGCATCAGACATTAATCAATAGGATAAGCAAAGCTGGAAGAGGGTGCTTTTTACAAATCAACTGAAATTCAAATAACGAGACAACAATCAATAACACTTTAGTTCAACAGAGAGAGGAGAAAATTATCATGGTCAACATACAACATTTACACTGAACCATGCTAGGAGACTAGTGCAAATCTAGGCTACATTACAACCAATGATGTTTGAAATCTACATTAAAATTGATGGTTTTCCGACTGTTAAAGAGGTACAAGCAACTAATTATCCATCATTATGTTCCCTCAGGTACAAGACCTGTTGAGCAGGGAATCATCTTTCAACAATGAAATGAAATGATACCAGAAAGGAACACAAAAGGCCAGTGAAACACACTAGCAACTATAGCTTTGCCTGACAAAGTTCCAATATGAATATTATGTCATGACTGTATGAACTTGTATGGTAACTAACTGAGAAGATAAAAAGCAACCAAATAACTACTTGGCCAAATTATGGAGAGTAATACAGGACATTTGAAACAATATATCACAATCACTTGTTGAAATATTTATGAGAGCATAAAAACAAGAGGTACTGTTTAAAGCAAGTATAAAATACCAGTGTATTAGAAGACCTTTTTTGCTACTTTCTGTGATAATGTATTATATTAATGATAAATTGACCCTTTAGTTGCAATTATTCATTATTTGTGACTCCCTGTACATATATCACCTATGCATATCCAAAACTATTTCCAATAATGTATATAAACTTCATATGCTCTCAAAGTATACCTAAGACTTTGTTTAAGTATACTGTAGCAAGAAGGAGCAGATTTTAAATACTATATTTGAATAATTATAACTATTAAAAAATAAATCAATTTGCAACAATACTCACAGTATTTTGTTTTTTCTTTAAATCTTCTAATACACTAACCAAGTCAGGATCTGCTACATCAAAACATGTCTGTCCCTGAAATAAAAAGATATTTTGAAGAAACTTGTGCTCAAAAATAAACATAAATGTTTATTAAGCACACTGCTTCAGTAACATAAAAAATCATCAATATATGATAATAATCTGATTTCTAAAATGTACTTATCACTCCTAAGTATCCGAAATAATACTTATGACACTGATTTAAAGGGTCAGAAACACCTTATTTCCCATTTTCTCCGAAGCAGAATAACGTGAAATAAATAACTAGCAAAGAGTTCTATAATCAGTTTATTCTATTTATTAGATAACACTTACAACAAAATTTTGGATATCCATGTTTGCAAGGTTATCAGCTAAGAGTTCACAGGATTCTTTCTGGCCCCAGTGTGCTGCAGCATGGAGAGGTGTCCAACCATCATTATCCTGTGTGTTCAGATCCAAACCAGCTTTGATCAGTAAGCTGTGGTGAAGAATGGATAGTTTATAAGTTTTAAGAAACACTTCACATTCACAGAATTATATTTGTATCTAAATGCTGCAACCAATTTTCATTTAAGGTTAAAATAAAGTCCTATTTTTAAAAACATCACTAATTAACACTTAAATAGAATTATCCTTTCATTTCATAAAACTAATAACTGATATAATAACAACTAAAATGACAACTATTTTTGTATAGAAGTATCTTTTTTTTATGTTTATTAAGTTTACATTTCTTCCACAAACTGTAGAATTGAGTGATTTGTTTGATGAGAATGTAAACAAAATAAAGACAGTCCAACTGAAAGAGAAAAATAAATAACTAAAAGCCAGAATAGTGTTCTACTTCATTATGAAAAACACACTTCATGTCTGGCTTATTAACATTTTTGTATGTGAATTTTAAACTTCATAGTAAAGGAAAAGTGATAAAAGTCAAAGCATGCAAACTGAAATGTAAACAGCATGAGATTACTATGATGAGCATCAAGATTTATTTGTTAGTTCTTTTCTATATTTTCATGTAAAGTTAATCGAGGGCTATCTCCACTATACATCTCTGATTTTGAACTGATAGACTAAAGGAAATTTAGTTAGTCAACAGGACCTACCACCAGCTCTTGGACTAATTTTATCTGAATGAACAATGGGATTTGATCACCAACTTTATAATGCACTCAAGGGCCCAAAGTGCAAAGCATAATCATTTTATTTAGCAATGAAATGCAAACAACAGACCTGCAGATCCATAGTCATTCTAACCTATGCTGCCATCTGTTGTCAAATATGATCTAGGCATTACCCTAATCTTATCTGACATTTAATCAGCTACTACATTAAATTCTATCTGGTTTCAGGCAGATACTAAACAATGAAATAATTCTGTAACTTAATTTTCTGTGTCAAACAAAATATCCTGTTGCATCCTTTTGGATACCAATTACTGAGAAGCTCTGCTGATATAGCAAAATCTTAAGTATGTAAACAATATTCTTGCTAAGAAAACATAAAATGATTTGCATTCCATCATAAGTTCTTTTCCTTAACTTTATACTCAATATTGCAATATTAGTTATATTTGCACTCAAAATTACAATATTAGACAAGAGAACTGTATTTTGGAACATAACTTCAATAACCAAGATTTGGCAGACCTTCATCTAGCTAAAATTAAAAACACAGATACTAAAATTTTTTTTTACATTACTGACCTGTATTCCTTCCCATTTTCTTGTATGATTTCCTTAAGTTGCCATACATTAGTTACATTATTTTTTTTTAGCAAAAATTATTTTCAACTGATGTCTTAAAATTTCAATGAGATTAACATCAGAACTTCAGATGTGTCACTTCATAACTTTTATCTCACAAACTCTTTCTTTCTCCTACAAATACCTCTTATTTATTATAGCAGCATGTTTTGGATCAATACATTCTGTTGCAAGTCATAGCCAAAAACAATTAAACATCATTCTTTATGCACTGTGTAACAAACCAGGATGTTGTAATATTGCTCCTTCTTCATTAATTTAGACAATATCTGCCACTCATGCAGAAGAAAAAAACATTCCTCTCACACTATTACAGACCCATCATGTTGTTTCACTGTTTTGCTTACAAATTTTTACTTAAACCCGCCATGAACAGAGAACTGCATAAAAACTCTCCTATTAATATATTCCTCTAATTTTTGTGATTCTTTAACACCTCAGTATATGAAATATTAAGCTTTATATATGCAACATTTTCATGTAGTATAAATAGTTTTATTGCTGATTCTAATTTCATGCATATCACATTCCTCTGCATTTAATTCTGGAAGTGTTTTGATTCAATTTAATGTTGAAATTCTTTGAATGATACCAACCTTCTGTTGAGATGCTCTTCTTAAGCCTCTCCTCTTATTATCAAACTTTAAATCACCCAATAACAGCAAAATGCTGTAATGCTAAATGTGAGCAATATAGTGCTGAATTTCTTTTCCTGATATAAAACAATAATGTCGACGATTTGATATTTACTGGTTACCCACTGCAAGTAACTCATAAAGAATGAAAATTGTAATGATTTACAATCAGTGTCTAAAATAACTATCATTACAAAAATACATATCAAAGGGTTAAGTTCACTTACCCCACATCTAATGATGCTTAATAGCTGATGAATAGTTGCATGCATGTCATAATTCTATTTATAAAGTGGATAAATGTTCTTATTGTAACCACTAAACAAAGTATGAATATAACACAGGAACAAACATTAAACGTTTTGCCAACAGTGGTTGCATTCTTGCAAGTTTTTATAGCAAAATTAGTTTGTTTTCTTGTCAGACTCCAGACTTATGGTCAGTACCATATAAATTATTCTATGATTACTAATAACACTTAAAAAGAGAAAACATTTCTGAAAAGAAGCCAAAAAGAAAAACAAACACAATTATATACAGACCTAAATAAAATGAGTAAAAATAGAAAAGGTCTCTCTGCACTGAAAGTTTCTATGTTTTCTTTTCTGTTCACAAAATTCCAGCATTAATACAAATACATTATCCAGAATTCAAAAAAAAAATAGTACCTGACTTACCTCAATACTTTAATATAGCCCTTAGCAGCAGCTACATGGAGAGCTGTAGCTCCAGTCTTTGGGTGAATTTTATCATTGAAGTTTTGGTTTTTTAGTTGAAAGTCCTGAGCATCCTGCATCATGACTCGTTCTTCTTCTGTTCTTGCAGCATCACAGTCAATACCTAAATGTAATAAGTCTCACAAATTTAAAACACAGCATGACAATCTTTATAGTTTATTAATCATGGCTCACAAAAAAATGATGCATGAAAATATGATAACCTACAATAACTGCTATATTTTTGTCAATTATATAGTAACAACAACAAAAATGGTTAAAGACCTATTGATTTTTCAGTTAATAATATCAAAAAATAAATAAATACAAACTTCAAAAACAAAAAGAAGTGTAATCAGCTGAATAATTAATATTGTGATACACAAACCTAGATGGTCAATTTCTGCTTGGAGCAATTCTTCCATTTCCTCTGATTCAGCTATGTCAATTGGCAATTCTCCATCATTGTTCACCTTTGCCACTGATGCACCATTTTCAAGTAAGTATCTAAGTACAAGAATAAAAAAAATCTAACTTAATACAAAAACAATTTTTTAGAAAATGTATGTTCCTCCAAATTTTATTTCAGGTGAATTTATTATTTTTAAAAGGTTAAGATATTAATAGTCAAAAGTAAAGAAATAGTTTTAACATACAATTATGCAACCTCAGGGATGCAAGATGTACTTTACATAATACTACAGTAATCAGTAGTTATGTAACATTTTTACATAGTTACTGATTTCCTTTTACATTTGTTTACCTTGATTCAATAGAGGAACTTTCCTTTACATTAATTTGTTTAATAAGATAACTGTCAAAGCCAAATATAAACAAGTTGCTTTCATCATTAAAGAAATGGCTTACCTATCCAAGCAACATACACACATATCAAACCAAAATCACGAATCTCATAATATACCTTATCATTTAATATTGAGATCTTAAAATCCATAAAAAAAACTGTAGTGTCAAACAGCGGCATCAAAAAATCTTAAAATTCAATTTTTAAAAAAATGATTGCTTCACTGGCTGAGAAACTTGCAATTATAGTATGTCTTGATCTCTATTATTTCAATGCAAACACTTTTGTTCCCTGAACTTGTAAAAATATACATAAAATACTTGTTTTTTTTATGGCAAGCAATTTTGGAGACACCTTACAAGTGTCTTTAAATAAACTTAAGAAACTAGTTAGATCAAAATATAATAAGCATGTTTCAAATTATCAGTACAATGTGGATGATTAAATTACATACTTTGCAATACTAAGAAAACCACACGAGGCAGTAGCATGCAATGGAGTCCATCCTTCATTGTCCCCTCTATCCACATCACATCCATGTTCCACCAGAAACTCTACCATTTTTAAGTTATCATCAATGCAAGCCTAAAATACAAATGTAAACACACTGATAAAAATATCAAGAATTACAGTTACAATACATTATTCTGTAAAAGCTTCTAAGTACTGTCAGATCTCCATAATTCAAAAATACTTCCTGGTTAGACTTGACATATTTAAGTAGATTCATGTGTATATATTTCATTCAGTGTGAATTTAAGAGAGTTTTTCTATATTTTGTTATGATTATTAAATACAAATATATAATCATACATTCAACCTTTTTTGACATAAAGAAATTATTGAGACAGCAATCTCTGGAACATTCTGAATAAAACTTTTTAATTATATATGAAATAGAAAAAATATAGTATTTCATTGACTATTTTCATATAATTATACTATTTTGTTTATATTCAAAACATTTGTGGCTTCCAAAGAGAAGACAGAAAGTGAATACATAAGATAAAAAACCATAGAGGTAATCAGCAATGAGTGATTCAGAAAGATGGACAAACGAATGAGCAGTCAGACAGGTAGATAAATGAGTTTGAAATATAAGAAGTGTCATGTTTGAATTATTCATTTGAAACATTTTAAGTTTTTTTATTATATACAAAGTAAGCCTCATCAAAACTAACTATTATCTTTAAAAAGTTTTGTTAGTTGTTTCTTTAAAGACTTCTCAGATAAGCAGATATTGTCAATCCACAAAATGCCCATAAGAATGGCATGAAAATTCAAGGAATCCAATTAACTATATTTAATATTTTCAATAAATGTTTACAAAGTAAATGTTATAAATGCAAACACATAACATGATTTAATGAAGGTTCATTTTACAACTCAGTTACAACTGTGGCTTATACAGTTGCTTTTTTTTTATAACTTCCTCGTTGACTTTTAATCTGGTGCAGTTTTCTAAGACATTAAACCACAAGTTTCAGTGTCTTAACACATTTTGATAAACACTATAAATCGACAAAATAATTATTAGAAATATGTTAACTACTGGACTTTAGAAAAACAAAATAGGGTCAACTGATAATAATATATCTTATGTTAAAGAAGATGAAATTAAATTTAAGTTTGTTGCAGAATAATGCCATTTAAAAATACTGGTTGTAGGGAAAGTGTGCTGGCTTACAAACCATTCAATTGTAATGACACTGTTTCCACTGTCCGAGATCATCCTAAATCGAGAATTGCAGAAAGACAGAAAAAAACATTTGCCAAGATACTAAACAAAACTTGTTTACTTTGGATGTGATATTTCTCACATTTAAATATTTTGATTCATTATTGGAACATTGTTTCATCTATAAGTTTTGTTTTTGTTCAGTACAGTTTTTACAAGAATCTGAGGTAAACAATCCAGAATAAGATACATAGAACAAAAATTAAAAATAATTTGAAAATATACAAATATTAGACTTGAAGTATTTTTTGTACATGGTAAAGTCTTTTTCACAAGTAACGACAAAAAAAAAGATTGCACCATTTTTCTTATTATCTCATTATATTACCAACAAAAGTTCAAAATGTTGTTTGTAAAACTTTTTTATATTACCATGAAATACAATCTGCACAGGTTAAAATCAACAAAAACCACAAAAAAGTATGGATGGGCACGTAATTTGAATCTACTGCAGAAGTTTTCATATGGTGTTACTTTTACTGATTGTTAAGTTTGTTGAATTTTGCACAAAGCTACTCAAGGATTATCTGCGCTAGGTGTCCCTAATTTTGAAGTAACAGACAACCACTCTTGGACTACTCTTTAGTATTGAATAGTGGTATTAACCATTACATTATAACATCTCACAGCTAAAAAGATGAGCAGATACAGTGATGGAATTCGTAACCTTGACCAGCAGATTGCGAGTCAAGCCCCATAACCACCAGGCCATGCCAAGCCCTGATCATTAAGCCAATTATCGCCATTAAATTTGTAATTCAGGAAATTGTCAATATTATAATCATTAATCTAGAAAGTTTCAAGAAATGTATTTGGTACATTCCTGGACTAAACATCCAATTTATAAATACAGGATTTAGGCATAGTCGTCCCTAATTTAGAACTGATTATTTAACTTAATCATATTTTCGGTTATTCTTTCAATAACATCTGATGAAGTTCAGCTGGATCAAGAGATTTAGATTAGTCCTAAATCTGTACCCTAAGCCAACAATACAAAGTAATGTTTATGAAAGTAAAAATAACAACATGTACATAAAATCATTATAACCAATGATATTAATGAAATTTAACTATTTGTTTAGAACTTTTGTACAAAACCACACGAGGGATATTTATGTTAGTCCTCCCTAATTTTTAACTGATACGCTGGAGGAAAGACAGTCGACAGCACCACCGGCAACTATTGGGCTACTCGAATCAAATAGTGGAATTTAACGGCAACGTGACGCGAAGTAAATCCTTGGATTCACACTCCAGCACTCTAACCACTTAGCCAGACCCGGCTCATAATTAACCAGAGAAATCTTCAAAAGTGTTAAGATATAAAACATTCAAAGCTACCTAATATAACTAATGATAATAATAACTCATCACAAGTACAATAACATATTGTTACTTACAAAACCTCAGTCTATTAGTGTTTAGTTTAAACCTTTTAACGCTTTAATTCTTAAATATAAGCCATTTATATTCAGTAAATCACAAAACATGATTCAACGTGTGTGGTATCTTAAATAAGACATTTTGTTTTGCTTTGACCCCCTTTTTCTCAAATAGATATATTTTGTTCAATTTGAAGTGGATACATTTATAGATATGTTTCCTTCTATAAGTAAACATCCGTGCAATTACAAAGCACGTGGCAAATTATAACTGCTGTCTGAGCACATAACTCACCCTCATTAATCGTTTATCTGGAACAAGGCCGTACGATTAGTTGGCGGAGGCGGATAAGTTTCTTAAGTAATAAAGACCCTGCAAACACAAAATGAAACTTTACACGTTCCATTAACATTATGAGTGTGAATAGCTAAAAAAATTAGTAACACATTCAAGTGAAAGAGTGATAATAACTAGGAAATTTACAACGTGATAAATATTGTGAAATGACTCCTATTTTTCCATTGTTGAATAAATATTCTGCGCGTGGAATTACGATTTATATATATTAATATGTGCTGAATTAGTGTTACCACAAAAATGTTTATTTAATACAGTTTTCCTATTAACCCTACAATTCCCGATAGGAGTTTATATATAGATCCCATCACCTTTCTAAATACATTTTTCGAAATTATTTATAAACCAAATCGTTTGTGGGTGATGATTTTCTCGGCTACAGGGCCTCATAGTAAATACGAGTCGCATACACATTAATGTAAACAAAAATATCCTCAATATTAGAACTAATCCTAGTAAATTAATGTTGGGGTCCTCTATGTAGTATACAGAAAATTACTGGTTAGTTTGCATACTGACTGTTGTAAAAAAAATATATATAACATTACTCAATACGAGTGTAGTATGTAGACTCTACTGGTAGTGAAAAGTCGGTGATATGTAGCTAAGTCGTTTGTTTTTGAGACCTTGTGATTACGTTTTCTAATGATGACTTCAACTGGACTACTTTATCCGTTGAAACAATCTGACGTTCAACACTTCACCAATCGTCGTATTACTTTCTGTCGATTACAGTTATTTTGTTTGTTTTTACGTGTTTAATTCTATATAATGTATTATACCCTCTGTAGTAACTTCATAATGTTCACTTGACGGAAGTACAAATTTAGAAATAAAGTTATATATATTTTTTCTTACGCTAATTCCTTTCCGAATTGGCCTCAGCGAACTTCTCGAAAAATATTGGATATCAACTTTGTTCTCAGTAATTATTAACATTAACTAAAAAATACATTAAAATTTACAGTTAACTTGGTTTCCCAACTAGCTAGTTGAGAAGTCATCTTTATTGTCAACACTCTGTCCGTCACCTTTCTTGTGAATATCTACAACAGGAATTTAAAAGCCTACAAAATACAATAAAATACAGAAGCTATAATGTGGTTTCTGGTAAATAAAATTATAAAACAAATATGAAACCTTGATCACTCCCACACTGCAACTTCGAACAACATAAACTTTCACAGCATTAGTCGGGTAAGTACGTCGATGGCGGTTTTTTCACAAACATATTTTCATCTTGGACGTGTTTGAAAGTAACCTGCTTTTAAAGTAAATCTAGCTCTTAGAAAAATCGTTGTTGTTGTAGTTAAGAAAAAAGCTACACAAAAGGCTATCTGTGCTCTGCCCACCACGGGTATCGAAACCCGGTTTCTAGCAGTACAAGTCCGCAGACATACCGTTGTACCACTTGGGGGGGGGGGGGGAGTCATCCACAACCTACCAAAACAGACCTGTGATACAGCACCACCTAAGAATGCTATGTGATTAAATATATCTTTAAAATAATACGAGGCAAAAATCGTTAGGAAAATATAACCCGCACCACTATTATAGTTATACAAAATAAAGACATTCTTAGCGACAGCAGAGAACTCTCTTTTTTTATTTCAGTGAATATAAGGTGATAGAATAATCCCTACAATACGCGTAACTCACAATCAATTATGATGTCTTACCACATGGTTGTTATATTCAGATTATAATCAATATTTAAAAGTTTTGGGACTGAGTAGACAACCCTTAGGAAAGGTATGACCCACTACCACCCACACCACTTCTGGGAACAGATTTCGATAGAGTTCCATATAGCAACAATTACAAGTTGTGCCAGAGCTCGCGAATAGATTCCATGGCTAAATTTAGTCACTGGACCCTGCTGTATACAAAGTCCCGTCGTGTTTTACACCCTCAACCGGCTGTGTATAATGGCAACATGATAACTATGTGCCGACTCTTTTTTGTTTAGTTTTTTTCCTTTCCAGGAAGAAAAATAAGTTTTGTGACAATGAAAGAAGTTCAGTATGTCATATATAAAGAGAGAGTGTATTATAACTAAAATACAACATAAATCGTTGTTTCTCTGAGCATTATTTACACGCAA